TCTCCAGATTCAACGAAATTTGTAAAAAAATCTTCCCGGAAGGTTCATTTATGTTTAATATTTTTCAAAGAGACGGAATATGATAACTATTTCAAGACAGCTGTTCTGCAAGTATCATATATGGCGTGTCCGGCGTAAATATGGAGCGTAATTGAAGTATAAATCTCCGAAAGGACACACAAATCTCGTTTGTCTCGTCACGGACAAATTAGTTTCGTTTCCCTCACCAGGTGGGAAAACTTCTTCTCTAATGGTTGCGTGAAATCTTGACGGACATGTCGTCCACCGTGCCGAGCGGTCGCTCCCGAGCTCATTTCGCCGTGAGTTAGACGGGCGAGAGATTATTTGGATTCCGAAGAATGGCAACAATCGAGCTTTGTAATCGGTCCTCGAAACGATAAAGACTTTGTTGGCTACCCTTCTGGTGCCGTTCTCTACCCGTCGCGCGACCACCCCCTGATTTTCGCTTGGTTTCGCTCGCTCACTCACTTTCTCTCTCTTCCCCCTACCCTCTCCCCACCTCTCCTTCCTCTTTTCTCATCGTCGCACACACAATCTCCCTTTCTCTCGTTACTCAGGCTCTAAGAGCTGGCCCAATGCTATCACCTGTTGACAATCGCACGCCTACGAATTCGCCCGCGTATCGCCCGATCGCGCCTCGCCCTCCCCGTTCTCTTTCTTTCGTTACGCGAGTTTGACGGCGTTCCAAGTTCGATGAATCGAAAAGGAGGCTCGCTCGCTTTGACGCTAAAGGGTTCCACGAGACGAGCAACGTTCAACGATTTCCCGGGCTTTCCCCTCCTTATCTTCCCTTTATTTTTTTCCTCACCGCGTCGATATCGACGCAGCGGTGGATCGGCAAGGTCACGATCACGTCGGAGAAAACAGGGAAACGCAACCGGGTTCCGCGTGTCGGCGATAAGATTGCAGCCTCTCTCGAGCGGTGGACGCGCGCCGAAAGACGCGAAACCGTGGGCTCTCGCTCGCCGATGAATGAACGCGCGCGCGCGTGAGAGGTGTGCGCACATGGGCCGTTCGCAGAAAGATCGATCGGGGCCGCTCAGGATTCTAGTTTTCGAGTGCTTCTATGCGCCCGGGGGACGCACAATGAGCTTTCTCGTGTCGCGCACGGTGGATGCGCGCGTGCACCGCCGATGCGCACACTCGCGCACTTATATGCGATCGCACATGCGTTCGATAGGATAGATAGTGTGTGGTGTGTGTGTGTGTGTGTGTGTGCGTCTATGTGCTTGTACGAGTCTACGTATACACGAGTCTAGGAAAGCTCGGTGCCACAAAGGCAGTGCGCCATCGAGTATCGCAAACATTGATTTGAATCACAAAGACCGCCCGCGGTATTCCATTGTCGGACTCCGACTTATTGTACGCTCGCTCTCTCTCTCTCTCTCTCGCGCTCGCTCGCTCGCTCTATCTCTCCCTATTCTCTATCTCTCTCGCTCTCTCTGTCTCGCTCTGCTTCTCTCCTTTACCCCCGGCTTCCCATGTGTATCGCACGATTCGCTCTATCTTTTTTCAACGGTAACGACCTATCAATCCACTTATTCCGCACGGTTTATGTGCCACTTGTGGCATTTCGGCCTAACGCGCCGCGCGCGAATAATGCGCGTCGATTTTTGTGGATACGCACCACCTGTGGGTCTATTCCACCGTCATCGTCGCCGACGGCGTGGGGCTCTTCGCGTCGTCGTCAGCACGCGTCAGCACGTGCGACAAAGTTCTCGCGTCGTCGCGGAAACCGGCGAATCGCGCGCGTCGGGAATATTTACGCGCGCGGCGATATTTTAAACGTCCGCGGGACTATTCACAATCGACGGTCATTTACGCCCCCGAATTCGTTATTAGCCCGAATTCTGCCCTCGGTCTCACCTGCGGATAACGCGCGCAGTTTTTAACAGCGTGATTAATTAATTTTATTTATGCGATCCCACCGATGCGGGGTTTCAACGGCGAAAATTCGGCGTCCGCCGAAAAACGGTCGCGCCACGCCTCGGTGCACTCGTGGGAAAAACTTACTCCTGTTATTGTTTCCATCGTCGCGATAAGGGCTTATCTTGCGGATAACGGCTCCGATCTTGCTGCGGACCAAAGATCGTTGGCCTCAAGGACGAATTGTGAAATAAGTCGTCGGACATCACGTGACGATCACGACGAAGAGAGAATGCAGCGGGAGAGACCGACGACAACGACGAAATTCCGGAATTCGTTCGCGGAAAATGGTGTGTAATCGCGACGACGGAAACACGGCCGCGATTATTCGACGTAATCGCGACGACCGTGTCGAAACAGAGAGAAAGAGAGAGAGGAAGTAGGTTGCGCGAAGGGGACACACGTGTTTTCGAGCACGTTGCGCGCACGAGCATCGATCTCGCGGGGGACGTCGGCGACGACGTCATCGCTACCGATACGACGACGCGCAGAACGAGCCGCGGATTCGTTTATCACGACGCGCACCTCCGCCGCGAGCCCGGCTCTTCCTCGCGTGCGCCTCTTCTCCTTTTCGCGCGTCTCGCCGCAACAGGTCCCTCGACGCGAAGCGCGCTGAAAAGCTGACGCGACCGCCCAACGGAGGCGACGACTTTGCGATTACCTCTCGGCGAATTTTGCCGATCGGCGAACGAGAGTAAAACGGAGGACGCGCCGAGTCGAAATTTTCGCCCCACGTTGAACCTTCATTTCTATGACGTAGTAGGAGTTGAGATGGCGAGATAAGCTCAATTCCAATTCTAATGATATAATTTAACGCTACACTGAGGAAAACATCCGTTATCGTATCTGATCGGATAATGCAATTAAAAAATAGCAAACGGATATGTATCGATAAAGTGCATTTCGTCCGATCATTTCGTCATTTCGTCCGATGCAAGTTGCGCCTTTATCCGACGAAAATCACCACGGATATACAAAGAGCAATTCATTTTCCGATTAGAATTCGTCGGTAATTACATCGGATACTGCGTCGGATAAAGATATCCATCACTTGATCGAACGATAAAAATAACAATCGGTTACATTATTTATCCAGTAACGTTGATGAAAAACAGATAATCACGTTTACTTGATTCTAACGCTTTTTCCATGTGTAGAATTAAAGATACAAGAGAGATGTTAATAAGTGTCGATACTGTCAAAGCAGATCTGTATTAGTCTACGGGTTACCTAAGTAAGTGCAAACTATTCTTACGAGCGTCAAGTAGCAGCAAAATTTCGACTCTGGGTTTACCGCGAATCACAGGACGAATAAGCTTCGGGAACATTCGGCATTCGACGGTGGAGCCGGATTAAAAGAAGAAATTGAATTAATTCAAAATAAATCCGGATGAAAAATAGAAATTAATATTGACCTTGAGGCCGGCGAAATAACTACATCGATAATAACGGGAGATAAAGGAAAAGGAACGGGATTTGCGATTAGATAACGATCCGATGAGTAATCGAACGTATCTGCGTGTGATTCGAAATTCCGAATGGATGAGAGGGACGAGAATTTTCTTCGTACCTTCGAGACGAGCCTTCGAACTGTGCGAGGTTTATATGCGAAGGAGAAAGCGACGCGTAAAATCGATCTGAGTAATTGTCACGTCGAAACAGCCGGATTTCGCGACGGTCGCTCGATACTCGGGAAAATTCATATCGAAGTTATAATACGTGCACAAACATTCATATATATATATATGAAAGTTCAGACGTACATCGAGAAAAGTCTCGCCGATAAGATAGCAACATGCTAGCGCAGTTAGTTACGCGATGTGATTCATTAGTTGCACCGCGGGAGTACGTCACATCGCGTTTTCGTAATTCGCCCGATCCGTTAGCGGAGAGTCCGTTCCCAGTTTTCCCCCTCATCGAATAAGGTACTTTCATTTTACCTTGAATCTCGGAGGAGGACGGGGCATATGATATGGTCGTCCCTGTTTCTACGCGTGGTCTGACAGACGAAACTACAAGCTGCCGTGTAAAGTTTCCGTCTCTTGCCTTTGTTTCTGCTCGTCCGTGAAATCCCCCAATTTCCGAAGGTACCGTCCGTACTTGCGCGAGAACACGAGCTGTATTCTGCAGGTATATCGAACGCAAACTGTCTTTCTAATTTTCAAGCTGAAACGTTAATACGTGACGTGACGTTTATAAACCAAAATTTAAACTTGGAATCAGTCGCATTTAACGTACTACCTTAATAGTACTCCGATCTAACTCATGCCGACCTATCCCTTCCAAATTGGACACTCATCGCAAACAGGAAAGAAAGAATTTACGAAAATCACGGAAAAAGCGCGGAAAGACAAATATCCGTGTGAACTGGCAAAAAAAAGAGATAAAAACGTCGGCATACACGTACGCATTACTACGCTCTCGCTCTCGCATGCGAAGGAACGTATTAAGGTCTGTGGATGGTACGCACGTTGTACGTGGCGCGTAGCGGTACGTGCGTCCGACGGGTAGCCGATTTCGCGGCGCGAAGAGAAACGTCAGTGGTGCTCAGGACGAAGAGAGGGAGAGAAGGAGAGAGAGAGAGAGAGAGAAAGAGGATTCGGCAAGAGGGGAAAGCGGAAGGGGAGAACCCCGGTGGGGTGGCTGCGAGCAGTAGCAGCAGCAACGAAGAGGGAGGGCCGAGCGGAAAGGAGAGAGAGAGAGAGAGGAAGAGAACGAACGAGCGAGAGAGAGAGAGAATGAAGAGAGGAGACTTCGGACCAACATCGCTGTGAGATCGGTCTTGTTCGCAGTGACGTCACCGCGCTAGAAGCTCCGCCCCTGCCAGCGCACCTGCCGATTGGTCGGGAGGAATGATGGCAGGCGCTGTTGCCAATCGATTGCCGTGAACGCTCGAGCCCGGTCCGTCGTTCAGGCGCGATTCCCTCTCCGGTGGCGAGAGAGAGCATCGGGTGGGGAGGCGCGCGCAAAAAGTAGAGGTGGGGGACGGCCACCTTCGGCAGGAAGTGAGCTTCGACCCCAAGGAGCATAGCACAAATGCTCAGACTGTTTCGTTCTCCGCTGAGGAGTGGAGGTCCCGCATCTCTTCTTCTGCATCGGGCTCTAGAATCGTAGTCGTTTCCAGCACGCTGGGAAGGAATAGTGCAGTGATAGCGGCGAAAGGAAACCGAGTTAGAATCCGTGTGTAGTGCACGTGCGGACTGCGTTCGAGGAAGACCGTCGGAGCGCGCCGCGCGTTTGGCCGTGCGTCGTTGCCGCACAGTCGTGACGCGATTCGTCGGACGTGCCGCAGCTCGCGACCAGTCAGAGTAGCTGGCTGCTGGCGAGCCGAGAGTGGTGAGAGAGAGAGAGAGACTGGCAGTGAGGGGAAGAAAGTGAGTGGCCGTCAGTTCGCACTTGGACTCTGTGACTTGCGGATCGTATGCGAGAGTATCTTCTCCTCGACTGCACGTTGGCCGAAAACGATCCCGTGCGTAGTAAAGTAGGCGACGCACGTCGGGGCCGATAATATGGTGAAGTGCTTCCTGCCGGCATCGAGTTCTCAGGGACAAGTCGTCGTCACCCTGTGAACGGCATCTACACGGTGTACGAACCCCTTCGAGGACAGGTCGTGTCTCGTGCAGAATGCGCGACAGTGCGCTCGTGATCGAGCGAATTGGACCTTGCGATCCCTCGTACCGAGGAGACTGAGGATCGCCTGTCAGTGGTTCTCTCAAGGTGAACCATTCGAGTGACATTGGCCACTTTCATGTCATCGCTTCGCGCATCGCACAGGTGGATGTTGAGGAAGTGACGGTAAAGTAATCACCAGACGATCGTGGTGACTGAGAGTGGATTTTCTTGACGTCGCGCGGTAACAGAAAAGGACGGCAAACTGTACGGGCACAGGGAGGAAGACATGCTCACGATGGAGACGGACATGAAGGGCGGCAGTTTGCACGGGCAGATGCCACCGCACCCGCAGGGCGTATCGCCGATGGGACACCACAGCATGTCCGCGTACGGCACCCTGAGCTCGATCGTGCACACCCCGGCGCTGTCGGGGAGTCCGCCCGGCGCGACCGGACTCGGCATGAGCCTGCAGCATCACCATCAGGCCCAGCAGTCGCACCACTACTCTCCCATGCATGTGGCCGCGGCCGCGGCCGCGGCTGTGCAGCAGCAGCAGAGCATGCACGCGATGGCGGCGCAGCAGAGCGCCCACCAGCAGCAGCATCATCCGCACCAGTCGCAGCAGCAGCAGCAGCCGCAGTCGCAGCAGCAGCATCAGCCGAACAATCACAGCAACGGCAACCCCGGCGGCAACCCCGCGAGCAACAAGAACAGCAACATCGACCGCGTGAAGAGGCCGATGAACGCGTTCATGGTGTGGTCCCGCGGCCAGCGGCGCAAGATGGCCCAGGAGAACCCGAAGATGCACAATTCGGAGATCTCGAAGCGGCTCGGCGCCGAGTGGAAGCTGCTGAGCGAGCAGGAGAAGCGGCCGTTCATCGACGAGGCCAAGCGATTGCGAGCGGTGCACATGAAGGAGCACCCGGACTACAAGTACCGGCCGCGGCGTAAGACAAAGACCTTGCTGAAGAAGGAGAAGTTCGCCCCGGCCAGCATGGCCGCCGTCGGCGGGATGCTCGGCGTCGACCAGCGGCAGGTAGGCACCGCCGGCGGGCCCCAGGCCACGTCGTTGACTCGCGACATGTACATGGTGCAGCAGACCAACGGCTACATGCCGAACGGCCACGCCGCCGCCCATCACTACTTGATGCACGACCCGACGTCGGCGACGGTCGCGGCGGCGTATCAGCACCAGGCGGTCACCTACAGCGGCCACATGAGCGGCGGGCCGGCCTCCACGGCGTCTTACCCGCGATATCCGGACGCGATGAGCCACCACATGGGCGGCGGCAGCCCCGGCTCGATCAACAGCTACATGAACGGTTACACCAGCGGATACGCCAGCACCACCGTGCCGGGTGGCTCGCCCTCGCCCTATCACCAAGCCCAGTCCGGCTCCCAGATGTCCAGTCACAGTCCGAGCGGCAGCAGCATAAAGTCCGAGCCCACGAGCCCGGCGAGCGGCGGCATACACACGCCGACGCCGACGGGGCCGACGTCGGCGGGCCCGGCCGCTGGCCAAGCGGTCAAACGGGAGTACATGGGCCAGCAGCAGCAGCAACAGTCCAACCAGCAGACCGGTGATCTCAGGCAGATGATCTCGATGTACCTGCCCCATGGCCCTGATCCGACGGTCGCGCACCACAGCACGGCCGTCTACTCGCCCGGCCCGTCGCCGGAGGCGCTGACGCAACACCAAGTCCCTGTGCCGCACCTTCAGCACATGTAAGCCCACCATTGTCTCTTCAAAGAGAGAGGAAGAAAGAAAGAGTCTTTCTCTCTATCTCTCTCCTCTCTCTTTCTCTCCTATATATGTCGCCGATTTACCTCCAGCTCGCCTGCGTTCGCTTTTGCCGAGTTTTCGCTTCGTCGCTCGCTCGTGGACACGGGAAGGACGTCGAGGTCGGTCAGCCGCCGGCTGTCTTGGCGCTTTGGGTTATCTCACAAGTTACGTCGGGTCCGGTCGAGTTGACAGTCGCTTTCATTCAACGAATCACTGATTCTTGATACGACACCTTCGGAACAGTGTCAGGTTAGATATTTCGAGGCCGGAAGCGACGCGATGTAATCGTAGGTTATCGTACGTGAGTTAGCGCGCGCCCTGTCAATTATTTCGTTGTTCGGCAGCGACAGAATTAGTGTAACTTACTTAACCGATAAGCTGCTTAACAGCTAGCGTAAAACTTCTCTCAGACAGCTCCGTCGAGGACGGCAACTTCTTTGTTATCTTTGTCGTTACGCGTGCGCCCTCGCAAGTCTAGGGTTCTAGGGCGAGACGGTAATTCTCGTGAAATGTTCCAACACCGCGTTCTCGGACAGATCGCTCGCCGGAATGTCGTCTTTACGCATCGGCGAGCCTAATATTTACGTTCGACACCGGCACGAGGTAGCATCGTGTACCGGACGGATGTAGTCTTCACGTTGGCGAACGAATTTGACTTACACAGCGCGATTCTGGAATAACGCACGAACCTACGACGTTTAGATACAAGACGCGGCGAAGTTGATCCCGCCTCGACGATGTTCCCGAACGATGAGAACGCTCTCGTGACGCGGTCGCTTCCGGACAGTTTGCCGATTTTTCCCCGATTCGTAATTAATCGACGACACTCGGAATGCCGACGGGATTCGCGGACTCGCTCGCGCTCCAGTCGTCCGCGAGGGATCCGCGTCCTCGGAAACATTATTTTGCGCGCGATACATTCCGACACGAGTACGACTTGCTGAATTCGCGGGTCGCAAATTTCGCCGGGGAAGTCGCTCGTTCTCGCGTAATTATTCATTACGGTGTTTTACTTCGTTCGTAACTCCGAATTCTGCTCGCACGTGGGAGCAGCAGCTGACAGATACGTCGCCGTGCTACGAGTTCCGTTGATTTCCTTTCCCAGACGTTTCGTTCCAATCGTTTCACACTGTCGCAAACTATTGTTTATAAATTATCGTGCAAAGCCATTTCCTTTCTTTCGTCGACCTTTAATCCCGATTTACATAACGAGGACTCCCCGTGGCTCTCCGTACGCGCGCTAATTCCGAGTGAGCGTTCGTGTCATGAGCGCTATTATTCGGCACGACGATCTATTTGTCTCTCTTTCTTCTTCCCCGTCTCGCTCGCTCTCGCAACAAGCGGTCGAACGAGAGATAATGTTTCGCAAACGATACATATCCATCTTCCTTTCCAGTTCTGCGGAATATGCGAGAATAGCAAGCGCCGACGGCGTAGACGGTCGCCGAATCACAACACAAACGCTCACGACGTCCTTCCATCCCACGAGCGAACGATAATATCGCACACACACACACACACACACGGACACATATATATATCTGTCTATATACACACACGCTATCGTGACAATGCTTCTGGACCTTATCATCGCACTTCCGACCAACTGCTAAAACGATGATCTACGATGTACATCTCTTCCCCAGCTGCTCCGAAATCCGCGAGTCGCTCGCGATTATTAACAGCGCGCGTTCGCACACACACACGTATACACACATACGTATACGCAGGCACGTACGCACGTATATACACGCACACTCGAAGAGAGCTAATCAGAGCCGGTACTTTCGAGATGTCGATGCGCCGGCAAATTATAGGCCGGCGTATCGTAGTATCGAGTCGACCAGCGGGGGAGAGAAATATCGTGAATTATCGACTGGCGTGCGCGAGCCGCGCGAACGTCTTCCGGCCTGCTTTGACGAAACGCGTGCGTTCTCTCTCTCTCTAACGACCTATCCGTCCGCTAAAATCGCCGCCCAACCAGAGAGGGAGGAAGAAGGCTGGGAAATTTCTTTCGCATATGCGTCGCATACGAATTCAACGCACGCACGTGTCCAACCTGATGCTAACCGGAGGGCGTTCGCTGCTCGCAATTAGTCGTAGACGCGCGAATCGACCCTTTATTCGCGCTCTTGCTACGAATAGAAATTCTGAGATTGTATAAGTTTTGAAATCGCCTCTCTCTCGGGGGCCTCGACTCACTTCCAAGTCGAGATCTGTTGCGTTGACACACTTCGGGGCGAATCTTCCGGCGGCTATCAAGCGAAACGCGAACTGATGGAAGACGCTTGCGTCCGATAGACACGCGGGTCTTGACAAGTTCTGACGGTGTGTGTGTGTGTGTGTGGTTGTGTGTGTCTGTCACCATTGACATTCGACCGAAAGTCGAAATATTTAGACGAGTCTGAACGATCTTCTTGCGCTTTCTTCCAAATGTCCTCGTCATGCATCACCGATATGGGCTCTCCGCTTCGTCTCCCCGCGATTCCGATCCTTCTGACGGACGCGAATCGCCATTCTTTTATATACCGAGCCTCATCCACCGTTCATATTTATGGATCTCATATATGTCATGGAAGACTCGTGCTATTATTCGAAGAGAACTCCCACCATCAGCCAGTTGTTCGCGGATCGTGCGATCGTCTCGCGTTTTGTAGCATCGTTTTCATTCCCTCTCGTTCCATCTCTCCGTTAATTTCCCCTCACGTTTTTAGACATTTGAGTTGCGTTATTTATGTTCATGTACGTAATACGGATTCCGCGGGATATGAGAGAATATGCAATTTTTATTGTTAGTTAATTTTTCTCTCTCTCACGTAGGGTCCAGAATGAAGCAGCGTTCACGATATCATTTCTCACAGTTCTCGAGGCTCAATATTTATTTCTCCCGGTGAATTGTTTTCTCTCTCTCTCTCTCTCTCTCTCTCTCTCTCTCTCTCTTTCTCACTCACTCACTCATTCACTCACTCATTCACTCACTCACTCAACACTGTTTCTTTTCTCTCCATCTTCAGGCCTATGTTGCAGTGAGTAATCGCACCTGAAACCGCACAGAAATAAATATTGAGCTCAATCGGCATTCCCGACATAGGCTGAGTCAAAAAACCGATCAAATTTATCATTCCGTTTGTCATTCCGAGAATCGGCGTTTATACCGTAGAGTTTCGTTTTCGTCGGATCTCCTTTTTCGTTTTACATCTCGAGTGATCGAGTCGCGAGTTTTCTCTTTATTGCCGGACACTCGTCTCGATTTGGACGATTAAAATTGAAATCAAATCCGACGACCGCTTTTCAATCCCGACTGCGTCTCGCAGAGACTATTTCTCGCGGTCGCCGAATGATCACGACGAAGGTTTCTTCTGACTCATCCTATTTCACCGACGCGACGCGCAGGCGGCTAGAGCTAGAAACTTTTAACGAAAACGTCTCTTCTCTCTCACATCTTTTCGCAACCTAACATCAAACATGACCTACCGTAGGATGGCTACTACTTAAGAGAGCAAAAGACACACAGACAATGACAGAGGGAGGGAGAAAGCCAAACCCGGATAATCATCTGCGCGGAAAAAGTAACGAAAATATATGAAAGCGAAAACAAATAAAAGTGTAACCGCACACAACGCGAGAGAGGAACAAATACAATCCAACACGCAGACGAGAGCGAGATATAGAGAAAAGATGAAGAAAAGCGAGATGGAATGAGTGAGGAGAGTCCAACCAGATCAGGAAGGTGTCTCGCAGCTTTAGGACAATTTTCGCAGGGCTACGAGGGAAGCAGAAACACGAGTCGACTTATCGCACTTATCGCACTCTTCGCACTAGAAAACAAAAATTTTCTTAATATTACAGATGTAATTAATTAATTACGACCAAAAAATTATTTTATTCCGAAACCTCAACATGTCGCACGATCGAAATCGTTCCATCGAACGACTGAAATTTATAATAATAAAGTATTTTGTATTTCTTTTCCGGTAGTCTCCTATTTGTTAAAACTGAAATGGAGGAAATGTGAAAAGAAGTTAAGAATTGTCACTATTGAAAATAATTGGTATTTGACGTGTTCTTCTAAAGCCACGACGAGTATGTATTTTATTTATTCTTTATAAGAATAATAATAATAATATCAAGAAATAACAGCAACAACAATAGCGACGATTAGAATAATCGAGAATGAAGTTTATGACTACATTGGCAAAAGTCGTAAATGAACATTGCGCGGTTTTAAACGTCAAAAATAGCACGAGAAAGAAGGATATCGAAGATCGACGAACGTCGAGATCGACGATCGCTTTCGATTCGTTCTCTCAATGAAGCTTATTCTGAGGAATTTGTCGTACTATCAAATAAGAATTTTACAATGGTGCTAATTCACATATATACGTTGTAAGTATTCGTAATTGATTTTATTATGGTATGCAATAAGTATAATTAAGGTGCGTACGATTACACAATCCGCTAATGTATATAATGATACATCGGGCACAAGTAATCGTAATTTGTGAGATATAAATGTATATTTTATGTAGATTTTGGAAATATATAACGTTTAAATATAAATAGAGAAAAAATATATGTATACATACATATAAGTTGCTGAAATCTGACAGAGATATTCTGTATTGTTTTCTTTGATAAAATATTTAAAAACGATTATTAAATCGCGTCACCGTTTTATCGGAATCACGCTAGCACGGTCGGATTCATTGAGCATACATAATAAATAAATAATACGTAAACGAAGTAAGCGCAATATCGATCTGCCTGATATAAATTCATAAAATTATACAAATCGTTATGATTAAATAAATGTGTATGCCATCGTACACGCGTGTGTTTCGATACTCTTAATTCATTATGCGTAATACGTTCGAAGTTCTTTTTTATTGCCCCTTTCGCGACTACATCGTCGAGGCTCGTCTCAAACAAACGCGAATCACGATTACGGATCCGATTAAACGCTCGTCTCGTGAGCGAAACTCCTCATGCTTATGATACAGTAAGATTAGATGTTTAAATCGTGCATGTTATCTGAAAAACATCTAAAATAAAAATTGCTGTTTTGGTTGTTTGATGATATTAAGTGTGTAAATAACAATAAAGATTATTATTTGATTTGCGTATATACAAAAAAAAATAAGCAATCAATCAAAAATCAATTTACGTGAGAATTTTAATAATATTTTATACAATAAAATATATTAACATATAATAAATTTTATATATATATATATATATATATATATATATATATAAAATTTATTATATATAATATACATAATATATATATTATATATAACATAATATATATTATATATTAACACATTACAGACCGTGTACGCATTTTGTTGTACATCAACGAACTAAAAGTAAAATCCGCGTTTCAAACTTTTCATCTATTTTCAAAGTTCACTTGGTCTTAAGGGCTATTAAAAAAAGAAACATTTAGCTGCCCGTACATAATGTGTTAATATATATAATTTACATGCAATTATTATTATTATTACAAGCATATGCTGCATTCCGTACTTTTCGAAGCAATCATTTAAGCGTTGACTGGTATAATGTATGTTAAATGATACTAAATGATACTAAATGATGATCGAGTAAGTATAGGTAAGAGAGAAAAAATTGAAAATAATGAGGAAAACGATAAAAAAAAAAAAAGAGAAGGAAACGCAGACGATTGTGTTACTTTACCGACAACATTGTGAAAGTTTCGTTTAGTAGCACAGACAGATTCCTCGAGTTAAGCTCCGTCTGGAGAACGAATCAGCCGATCGGCGATCACGGTCGGTCGCCGGTGTGTTCTTCCCGTTCGCCGACGAGCGTCGGAATTTCCACGCTCGACGTTCAGGACTCAATGTAGTCGCGAATGTCGGATTCTCGTTGTCAACGATTGTCGTGCCCGCGACTTATTTCTGTTTTTTTATTCTGCCGCTTATTGACGTTATATTGTGTAACTTTTTCTCAACGATCCGCTTCTGTGTGAAGAAGAGAGATCCGACGAACGTTATCTCGCGACTCGCTTAACTGTTCCCATCGCGAACGGTACTATCGATACCGCACTGTATACCGCGTCGTCATCACCACCGATACGGCTACTGTAACAACGCTTGCTTGCTCGATCGAGATGTACACCGCGGTGAGATCCGAGAATCGGAATCGGTGCTTACCGATAAATCCGATTCAGCCTGTGATAAGAGAACTCAAAGGTACATACATTCGCGCATACACGGAGACGCGTGAGACATTTTCAGACACGAGAAAGAGGCAAGGGAGGGAAAGGGGCGCGTTATACGATATAATGATAGTTCCGTGTAATGATTGTCGTTCGTAAGTTTGGCAATCGCTAGACTGTGATTGAGCGGGACTACGAGAACCGGTATTCCATACTGCCGCTTGCGCGACTCGACCCGCATTGAAAAAGGAACAAAAGTAGAATAAAAGGAAAAACTAGAAAGAGAGAATGAGAGAGAGAGAGTATGTGTGTGTGTGTGTGAGAGAGAGAGAGAGAGAGAGAGGAGCAGGAAAAACATAGGGTTACGTTGGACTCGGCGTTCTTTCCGACGGTTCCTCGCTCCGCGGAAAATACTTCCGTGTATTTTTCGTCGTGAAGCTTTCGTTGACGGTGAGAACGTCTAGAAACGGAAACGCGATGTCGTCGTCGTCGTTGCGATGGCGGCGGTCGCGCGATCACCGTTGTTTGCTGTCGGTAGGTGTTTCGGTTTGCCTTCGAGTTTGACGATTGCAATATTCGAAAGCTCAAGATGTATTTCGTCATGGTGCGCGCGCACGATATCGTACGAGCTTCATACAAAAAGCAGCGGATTCCGTTACAGCAAGCAACGGCGCGTGTGTAAATATATGTATATTTATAAGTTATACGAATCCGTAGCGAGTAAGGGGAAGGAGAACCTGCGCATATCGAAAGAAAGTCACTCGTCGTACTTTTCTCAGCGTTTCTCGTGGTTTGTTTCTGAGAGAGAGAGAGAAAAGAAATATGATTTTCGGAGGGAAACGTCTTCCCGAGGAAGGAGCATCTCTATGACGAGTGTAGCTTTGTATATAGGATATCAGCGTGAATTCTCCACGTGATGTACATACGTTTAGACGCGAACCGGTATACGTTAAAATATGTTATTATACATACGTCTATATACATATATATATTTATATATGTATATAGATTTATATAGATATTGAGAAGTAAAAATTCAATTGTGTTTTTCAATTCGATCACCATGTACACAAATTATCCATCAATCCCGCTGCGCATATCTTTCGCATCCGCTCTTTCCTGTCTCGAGACGTTCAATTTTCGAGACATACAATTTTCATTTCCATATCGAAATCGTGATGACGAAGCGGGGTGCACTGTTAAAAACGGCTCGGTCCTTGGCCGATGATGGGGGAACAACGATCCGTGTTTAAAAGTTCGTAAAATCTTAGGCATCCCGTTTGTTTGTCAAATGTTCGCATCGGGACGCGCGAATATATCGGAATTAATCGAATAACGGTCCGACTAATTCGCCAAATCTCGCATGTGTCTCCGTTCGTCGACCGCATCTGGTGTTTTCCCCGAGGATACGGAGAAATGTGAGCGGTCCCGCTCTGATTTTCGAAACTCAACTAATCCTCGTTTCTGCATTCTGAACACGTATTTCTAATCAGCCCTTTTTCTTCTACCTGAAAAATGCATGTTCCGGCTGCCTCTACTTCCACGAAAAGAATTTCAACGATTCAACTTGAAAAACACTCGTGACAAGTCCTTGACGTTCCGTCCATAAAATCATCCCTTTTCCCTTCTTCCGTGAAACATTAGATCGTGATGTTGGGCAAGAAATATTTGAAAGTGCAGGTATCTGTATGAGCGATACAAATCATCGCGACCTTTGATTCGTCGCGAATGTAATTATTTGGAAAATTCTCTGTATCCCGTCGCCGCAAACGGCAGCTCTTCATTTATCGCGTGACTTAACCGGTTACAACTCTCTCTCCTTCTCTCTTTCACACACACACACGTACACATACGTTCTCTCTCTCTCTTCCTCCCTTTCTCTCCACTCGCTTGTCCGCGCGAAAAATGGTCCCGATAAAAATATAAATACAAGCGCGCGCATAACGCGGTGAAAAAACGCGCGCGGGCGCGCGGTGCATGGACGAGTGGAGACATTAATTCGCGCCAATAAATATTCCCATCGTTCCGGCACATAAACCCCGGCGTTTGTCATACACACGCAGTCATTTCGGTTAAAAGGCATTCCCTCCGCCACTGAATGCAAATGCGAGTAGCTCGTTGTGCGTGCCGCTAGGGTCTCTAAAGTGCTTTCAATTACGCGTTCCACCTAACGTCCCGGCGCGAGTCGCGACGGTCCTGGAGGGCCGTTTTCCTATGTTTTACATAAACGGGATTTTCAAGTGTTTCACGCCCCACGAGGACACACACGACGACGACGTCGTACCGTCGTCGACGCGACGACTCGTTATTATTTAACGCCGACCGCTTCATCGGCCTGTTCCCTTCGCCGCCTACGCGACTTTTCGCGATGTTTAACTCGTTTACTTGACGCGCGACCAGACGGAAAATCGTTTTCTTCTCCCGCGCGGTCTCAGACCGATCGCGCGGAATTTCACAGGCCGTTGCCTCGCGCAGGACGAAAGTCGAACTAGAAGAAACGCCGTGTGTACACATGGGTGTGCGTGCTGTGTGTTTACACGCGAAACGCGCCGTGTTTTGTCGCGGGGCCCGCTCGCGAACAACACGGAATAAGTTGGGTAACGCGTCTTTAAACATCCCATGCGTGCACAGCGCGCGCGCGGCGATATACGACCAGGCGCGATATACGAGATGGACGATGCGGAGTTGATTTAACGACACTTGTTGCTCGGACAAAGTTGGATAATAATTTCAGGTCGCTTTCCGGCTTTCGGCCGGCGAATGGAACGGCGCGTCCGAGCGCGCACGTGTGTCTCTGTTTATACCTGCGTATCTTTTTCCATCGCGTCATCATTTCTCTTACGTATCGCCTACATCGGCACGCGAGATTCTCGTATTGTCACGATCGCTGGTGTTTTCCTACTTGCGCGTCGTCCTCCGATTTCAATTCTACTCGCGAGACGCCGAGGTGCAGCCGGATGTAGGGCGAGTTGCCAAAGTTGTAACGCTTGAGATATTTTTCCGACGTTCGCATCACACGTACGGAAGACGTACAGAATTTCTTCAAATTTCGGTTCTGTGCTTCGGAAAAAAAACGACCGAGATACGACTTAGATATCTACTGGTACGAATTCGTCAACTTACCTCTGTATATTCCCGTCGGAAAGTTGACTACCTGCGCGTTCCCGTTGATGAAGACGTAGCCGTGAAGACGCGGCTGTCCGGCGGCGAGATTAAATCCGGAAATACGGGGTACACTCGCGAGGATGTCAGCGATCGGCGAAGATCGCGGAGCGCTTTCCGCCTCGGGCTTGACGTATCCATTTGCGCCTCGCGAT